TGGGGGTGGGGGTGTGTGATTTTTGAAGGGGGGGTTTTGGCGCTGAATGGGAGATTCTGGGTCTGAATTGAAAATTTCGGCACTGAAATCCTCGAATTCCAGCACTGAACTCCAAATTCCACCCCAAAAATACCCGAATTCCACCCCAAAAATCCCCAAATTCCACCCCAAAATCCCCAAATTCCACCTCAAAATCCCCCAATTCCAGCCCAAAAATCCCCGAATTCCAGCACTGAACTCCAAATTCCACCCCAAAAATACCCGAATTCCACCCCAAAATCCCCGAATTCCACCCCAAAAATCCCCAAATTCCAGCCCTGAGCCCCAAATTTCACCCCAAAAATACCCGAATTCCAGCACTGAATCAAAAATTCCAGCACTGAACCCCAAATTCCAGCCCTGAAACTCAAATTCCACCCCAAAAATCCCCCAATTCCACCCCAAAAATCCCCGAATTCCAGCCCTGAATCAAAAATTCCAGCCCTGAACCCCAAATTCCAGCCCTGAATGTCAAATTCCAGCCCTGAACCCCAAATTCCAGCACTGAATCAAAAATTCCAGCCCTGAAATCCCCAAATTCCACCCTAAAAATCCCCGAATTCCAGCCCTGAGCCCCAAATTCCAGCACTGAACCCCAAATTCCAGCCCTGAAACTCAAATTCCACCCTAAAAATCCCCAAATTCCAGCCCTGAGCCCCAAATTCCACCCCAAAATCCCCAATTCTACCCCAAAATCCCCAAATTCCACCCCAAAAATCCCCAAATTCCAGCCCTGAACCCCAAATTCCACCCCAAAATCCCCAATTCCACCCCAAAAATCCCCAAATTCCAGCCCTGAATCAAAAATTCCAGCCCTGAACCCCAAATTCCAGCCCTGAAACTCAAATTCCACCCTAAAAATCCCCAAATTCCACCCCAAAATCCCCAATTCCACCCCAAAATCCCCAAATTCCACCCCAAAATCCCCAATTCCACCCCAAAATCCCCAATTTTTTAGGGATTTTGAGGTTTTTTTTAGGGATTTTGGGGTTTTTTTGGGGGGGTTTTAGGGGTTTTTTTTCAGGGATTTTAAGGTTTTATTTTAGGAATTTGGGGTTTTCGAAGCTTTTTATGGATTTAGGTTATTTTTAACGATTTTGGGGTGTTTTTAAAGAGGTTTTTGGGGTTTTTTGGGGGGTTTTAGGAGGTTTTTTTAAGGATTTTGGGTTTTTTTTTCAGGGATTTTGGGGTTTTATTTTAGGAATTTGGGGTTTTTTTAGGAATTTTGGGGTTTCTTTTAAGGATTTTGGGGTTTTTTAGGGATTTTGGGGTTTTTTTTCAGGGATTTTGGGGGGTTTTTTGGGTTTTAGGAGGTTTTTTTAGGGATTTTGGGGTTTTTTTCAGGGATTTTGGGGTTTCTTTTAAGGATTTTGGGATTTTTTAGGGATTTGGGGGTTTTTTTGGGTTTTAGGAGGTTTTTTTAGGGATTTTGGGGGTTTTTTTCAGGGATTTTGGGGTTTTATTTTAGGAATTCGGGGTTTTTTTTAGGGTTTTTGAAGCTTTTTATGGATTTAGGTTATTTTTAAGGATTTTGGGGTGTTTTTAATGAGGTTTTTGGGGTGTTTTTTACCTTAATTTTGGTGAAAAACTGCCGGAAACAAGCCCTGGGATCCACCTTGAGGCTCTTGGCCAGCTCCAGGATGAATTGCATGACGATGGTCTGGTGAGCCACCTGCTCCATCAGCGCGTGTTTCTGCAGGAAAAACGGGGTTAAAATCCCCAAAAACGCCCCAAAACGCCCCAAAAAACATCAAAAACGTGAAAAAAAACCCCAAAAAGCCCAAAAAAACCCAAAAAAACCCCAAAAAAGCCCAAAAAAAGCCCAAAAAACACCAAAAAAAACCCCAAAAAAGCCCAAAAAAACCCCCCCAAAAAATCCAAAAAAATTCCAAAAAATCCCCAAAAAAATTCCAAAAAATCCCAAAAAAACCCCAAAAAATCCCCAAAAAACCCCAAAAAAATCCAAAAAAACCCCCCAAAAATCCCAAAAAATCCCCTAAAAAAATCCCAAAAAAACCACAAAAAAATCCAAAAAAACCCCCCAAAAAATCCAAAAAAATTCCAAAAATATAAAAAAAAACCCCAAAAAACCCCCCCAAAAAAACCCCAAAAAATCAAAAAAAATTCAAAAAAATCCAAAAAAAAACCCCCAAAAAACCCCCAAAAAACCCCAAAAAAATCCTTGCAAAAACCCAAAAAAACCCCCAAAAAACCCAAAAAAATCCCAAAAAAATCCAAAAAACCCTCAAAAAAATCCAAAAAAATCCCAAAAAAATCCCCAAAAAAACCCCAAAAAACCCCAAAAAAATCCTCTAAAAATCCCCAAAAATCCCAAAAAAACCCTAAAAAAACCTAAAAAAACCCAACAAAAACCCCAACAAAAACCCCCAAAAAAACCCCAAAAAACCAAAAAAATCCAAAAAAAGACTCAAAAAAATCCAAAAAAACCCAAAAAAAATCCCAAAAAACCCCCAAAAAATCCCAAAAAAATCCCAAAAAAAACCAAAAAAACCCCAAAAAAATCCCAAAAAACACCCCAAAAAATCACAAAAAAATCCAAATAAAACCCCCAAAAATCCAAAAAAAATCCAAAAAACCCCAAAAAAAACCCCAAAAAAACCCAAAAAAATCCCAAAAAAAACCCAAAAAAACCCAAAAACCCCCCCAAAAAAACCCCAAAACAACCCAAAAAAACCCCAAAAAACCCCAAAAAACCAAAAAAAAAAAAAACAAAAAAAAAACAAAAAAACCCAAAAAAAACCCTAAAAAATCCCCAAAAATCCCAAAAAAACCCCCAAAAAAACCACAAAAAAAATCCAAAAAAACTCAAAACCCCAAAAAAATCCAAAAAAATCCAAAAAAATCCTCGCAAAAAATCCCAAAAAACACCCCAAAAATCCCAAAAAAATCCCAAAAAACACCCCAAATATCCCCCAAAAAATTCTAAAAAATCCCCAAAAAATCCCCAAAAAACCCCCCAAAAAATCAAAAAAAATCCCCCAAAAATCCCAAAAAAACCCCAAAAAACCCCCCAAAAATCGCAAAAAAATCCAAAAAAAATCACAAAAAAAACCCCAAAAAATCACAAAAAAATCCAAAAAAAATAAAAAAAAACCCCCCAAAAAAAATCAAAAAAATCCCAAAAAAATCCCAAAAAAATCCAAAAAAAACCCCCAAAAAAACCCCAAAAAAATCCAAAAAAAATCCCAAAAAACCCCCAAAAAACCCCAAAAAAAACCCCAAAAAAATCCCAAAAAATCCCAAAAAAACCCCAAAAACCCCCCAAAAAATCCCAAACTGAAAAATCTGGAATTTTCCCCAAATTTCCCTGGATTTTGCTCACCTCCTCCACCTCCAGGTCGATGCACCAGATCACCAGGTAATTGGCGGTCTCCTCGCACACCAGGTGAGGATTGTCCGACAGGAATTTCTGGCTGTCGTCCCAACGTCTCAACATCCCTTGGAAAAATCAAAAAAAAACCAAATTTTTCCCATTCTGGAAAAATTTTAAAGTGGGATGGAATAGTTTTGTGTTTAAATTTAATTTTTGGTTAAAATTGGGTTAAATCTGGTTTAAATTTAAGTTGATTTCTTGTTGAAATTTGATTTAATTCTTGATTTAATTCTTCCTAAAATTTAATTTAATTCCTGATTTAATTCCCCCTAAAATTTAATTTGATTCCCCCATAAATTCAATTTAATTCCTGATCTAATTCCCACTAAAATTCAATTTAATTCCTGATTTAATTCCCCCTAAAATTCAATTTAATTCTCCCATAAATTCAATTTAATTCCTGATCTAATTCCTCCTAAAATTTAATTTAATTCTCCCTAAAATTCAATTTAATTCCTGATTTAATTCCCCCTAAAATCCAATTTAATTCCCCCTAAAATTCAATTTAATTCCTGTTAAAATTCAATTTAATTCCTGATTTAATTCCCCCTAAAATCCAATTTAATTCCCCCTAAAATTCAGTTTAATTCCCCCTAAAATTTAATTTAATTCCCCCATAAATTCAATTTAATTCCCCTTAAAATTCAATTTAATTCCTGATTTAATTCCCCCTAAAATTCAATTTAATTCCTGATTTAATTCCCACTAAAATTCAATTTAATCCCTGATTTAATTCCCACTAAAATTCAATTTAATTCCAAATTTAATTCCTCCTAAAATTTAATTTAATTCTCCCTAAAATTCAATTTAATTCTTGATTTAATTCTCCCTAAAATCCAATTTAATTCTCACTAAAATCCAATTAAATTCTCCCTAAAATTCAACTTAATTCCCCCTAAAATTCAATTTAATTCCTGATCTAATTCCCCCTAAAATTCAATTTAATTCCTGATTTAATTCCCACTAAAATTCAATTTAATTCCAAACTATTCCAAACTTAATTCCTCCTAAAATTTAATTTAATTCTCCCTAAAATTCAATTTAATTCTTGATTTAATTCCTCCTAAAATTTAATTTAATTCTCCCTAAAATTCAATTTAATTCCTGATTTGATTCCCCCATAAATTCAATTTAATTCCCCCATAAATTCAATTTAATTCCCCCATAAATTCAATTTAATTCCTGATTTAATTCCCCCTAAAATCCAATTTAATTCCTCCATAAATTCAATTTAATTCCCCCTAAAATTCAATTTAATTCCTCCATAAATTCAATTTAATTCCCCCTAAAATCCAATTTAATTCCCCCATAAATTCAATTTAATTCCTGATTTAATTCACACTAAAATTCAATTTAATTCCCCCTAAAATTCAATTTAATTCCTGTTAAAATTCAATTTAATTCCTGATTTAATTCCCCCTAAAATCCAATTTAATTCCCCCTAAAATTCAATTTAATTCCCCCATAAATCCAATTTAATTCCCCCTAAAATTCAATTTAATTCCCCCTAAAATTCAATTTAATTCCCCCATAAATCCAATTTAATTCCCCCATAAATTCAATTTAATTCCCCCATAAATCCAATTTAATTCCCCTATAAATCCAATTTAATTCCCCCATAAATCCAATTTAATTCCCCCCAAATCTGCCCTTTGGAGGAGCAAAAATCCAGGAAAAAAAAGCAGAAAATCCTCGATTTTTCAGCAGAGAATTTTGGAAATTTTGGAAAATCCCAAAAAATTCTGTTCCCACCTCCCAAATGAAGAAACCTCACCGAAATGTTTAATTTGCTTTTCGTATCTCTCCACAAAACTTTTGTGTTTCTTCTCTTTCTGCTCCTCTGTCTCCTCCTTCTCCTCGGGTTTCACGTTGAAAACGCTCTGGGAAAGAGAAATAAAATTGGGAATTCTCCTTGAGGGGGATTCCTCAGAGATTTGGGGATTTTTGGGGAGTTTTTGGGAGTTTTTGGGATTTTTTGGGAATTTTTTGGGATTTTTTGGGGGATTTTTAGGGATTTTTTTGGGGATTTTTAGGGATTTTTTGGAATTTTTTGGGATTTTTTTGGGAATTTTTGGGGATTTTTTTGGATTTTTTAGGGGATTTTTAGGGATTTTTTTGGAATTTTTAGGGATTTTTTGGGAATTTTTTGGGAATTTTTTTGGATTTTTTGGGGATTTTTTGGGGATTTTTTAGGGGATTTTTAGGGATTTTTTAGGGGATTTTTAAGGTTTTTTTGGGAATTTTTTGGGATTTTTTAGGGGATTTTTAGGGATTTTTTGGGATTTTTTAGGGGATTTTTAGGGGATTTTTTGGGAATTTTTTAGGGGATTTTTTGGGATTTTTTTTAGAATTTTTTGGGATTTTTTTGGGAATTTCTTGGGATTTTTTAGGGAATTTTTTGGGATTTTTTAGGGGATTTTTAGGGGGGAATTTTAGGGAAATTTTTGTGAATTTTTAGGGATTTTTAGTGGGATTTTTTTGTGACTTTCAGGAACTTTTTAGGGAATTTTAGGGCGAATTTTTAGGGAATTTTAGGGGGATTTTTTGGGGAATTTCAGGAACTTTATAGGGAATTTTAGGGGGATTTTTTGGGGAATTTTTAGGGAATTTTAGGGGGATTTTTTGGGGAATTTCAGGAACTTTTTAGGGAATTTTAGGGGGATTTTTTGGGGAATTTCAGGCAAATTTTTAGGGAATTTTAGGGAAATTTTTGGGAATTTTTAGGGATTTTTAGTGGGATTTTTTTGTGACTTTCAGGAACTTTTTATGGAATTTTATGGAGATTTTTTTGTGACTTTTAGGAACTTTTTATGGAATTTTATGGAGATTTTTTTGTGACTTTTAGGAACTTTTTAGGGAATTTTATGGAGATTTTTTTGGGAATTTCAGAAACTTTTTAGGGAATTTTAGGGCGAATTTTTAGGGAATTTTAGGGGGATTTTTTGGGGAATTTCAGGAACTTTTTAGGAAATTTTAGGGGGATTTTTAGGGAATTTTGGGGCGAATTTTTAGGGAATTTTAGGGAAATTTTTGGGAATTTTTAGGGAATTTTAGGGGGATTTTTTTTGGGACTTTCAGGAACTTTTTAGTGAATTTTATGGAGATTTTTTTGTGAATTTCAGAAACTTTTTAGGGAATTTTAGGGCGAATTTTTAGGGAATTTTAGGGGGATTTTTGGGGAATTTTGGGGCAAATTTTTAGGGAATTTTAGGGAAATTTTTGGGAATTTTTAGGGATTTTTAGTGGGATTTTTTTGTGACTTTCAGGAACTTTTTATGGAATTTTATGGAGATTTTTTTGTGACTTTTAGGAACTTTTTATGGAATTTTATGGAGATTTTTTTGTGACTTTTAGGAACTTTTTAGGGAATTTTATGGAGATTTTTTTGGGAATTTCAGGAACTTTTTAGGGAATTTTAGGGCGAATTTTTAGGGAATTTTAGGGGGATTTTTTGGGGAATTTCAGGAACTTTTTAGGGAATTTTAGGGGGATTTTTTGGGGAATTTTGGGGCGAATTTTTAGGGAATTTTAGGGAAATTTTTGGGAATTTTTAGGGAATTTTAGGGGGATTTTTTTGGGACTTTCAGGAACTTTTTATGGAATTTTATGGAGATTTTTTTGTGACTTTTAGGAACTTTTTATGGAATTTTATGGAGATTTTTTTGTGAATTTCAGGAACTTTTTAGGGAATTTTAGGGGGATTTTTTTTGGAATTTTGGGGCGAATTTTTAGGGAATTTTAGGGGGATTTTTAGGGAATTTTGGGGCGAATTTTTAGGGAATTTTAGGGAAATTTTTGGGAATTTTTAGGGAATTTTAATGGAGATTTTTTTGGGAATTTCAGGAACTTTTTAGGGATTTTAATGGAGATTTTTTTGGGAATTTCAGGAACTTTTTAGGGATTTTAATGGAGATTTTTTTGTGAATTTCAGAAACTTTTCAAACAACCCTTTATAATTTTTAACCCCTACCAAACCCCACCTTACTAAACCCATCCTTGCTGAGCGTATCCACGTTCCAGGGATTTTTTTGTGACTTTTAGGAACTTTTTAGGGATTTTAATGGAGATTTTTTTGTGAATTTCAGGAACTTTTTATGGAATTTTATGGAGATTTTTTTGGGGAATTTCAGGAACTTTTTAGGGAATTTTAGGGGGATTTTTTGGGGAATTTTGGGGCGAATTTTTAGGGAATTTTAGGGAAATTTTGGGGAATTTTTAGGGAATTTTAGGGGGATTTTTAGGGAATTTTGGGGCGAATTTTTAGGGAATTTTAGGGAAATTTTTGGGAATTTTTAGGGATTTTTAGTGGGATTTTTTTGTGACTTTTAGGAACTTTTTAGTGAATTTTATGGAGATTTTTTTGTGAATTTTTAGGGAATTTTAGGGGGATTTTTTTGGGACTTTTAGGAACTTTTTAGGGATTTTAATGGAGATTTTTTTGTGAATTTCAGGAACTTTTTAGGGATTTTAATGGAGATTTTTTTTGGAATTTCAGGAACTTTTTAGGGAATTTTAGGGGGATTTTTTTTGGAATTTTGGGGCGAATTTTTAGGGAATTTTAGGGGGATTTTTAGGGAATTTTGGGGCGAATTTTTAGGGAATTTTAGGGGGATTTTTTGGGGAATTTCAGGAACTTTTTAGGGAATTTTTGGGAATTTTTAGGGAATTTTAGGGGGATATTTTTGGGGAATTTCAGGAACTTTATAGGGAATTTTAGGGGGATTTTTTGGGGAATTTTTAGGGAATTTTAGGGGGATTTTTTTGGGACTTTCAGGAACTTTTTAGGGAATTTTATGGAGATTTTTTTGGGAATTTCAGGAACTTTTTAGGGAATTTTAGGGCGAATTTTTAGG